GGTACACTTGCACACAGTTTTTGAAGGAACTCAGCAGGTAGGTTGTTCCAAACATCTTGGAGAACTAATTGTGCTCTCCTTTAAACAAGGATTGAAGACCAGGCTCTTTCCCCTGGCTTTTTGCTAGGGCAGGTTGTAGGCTCCCTTCGTGAGGGGTTTTCATGTCTCTTCCACCAGGATAACATCTTTTTCTGTTGTCTGATATTATTAGTTGTTAATTATATAATTTGTGATGTTGGTTTTCAATTTGTACACCACCCAGAGTAATCAAAGAGTTAGAAATATGAAGTATAAGTAAATAAATGATAGAACAAGTTTGTTGTGGTGCAGAAATATGATGACACATGGATTCCCTAGTATTCATCATCTACCAAAACATTAATTTAAAACGATGTATTAGGGGAAGTGTGAATCCAAGGAAGAGCATATCTTTGGGAAAGTTATATACAGTAACCCTATACTAGGGGTTAATATGGAGTTTATTCAAAAGTATACATTGGGAAAGCTGCATTTTTAAAAGTATATATCAGTATTGTTTTTATTGTAAACTGCCCAGAGTCACTTCCTCATGAGATGGGCGGTGTCCAAATTTGAAATATAAATAAATAAATAAAGCATACAACAACAGAAGTATTGGAATTATCTCAGTGTTTGTTTTTACACCACTATAACATTGGTCAGCTCATTTTTATGGAAGAAAATTCAGATTATTTCACCAAATAGCAGCACTTAGATCTCTTTGTCTAGACTTAGAAGCTAAGCAGGATTGGACTTGGTTAGTACTTGGATGAGAAGTCCAGAAGTCACTGGCAACCGACTTCCATACTGTTCCCAAGAAAACTGCTTTAATGTGTCCATCTAGTTACTAGCAATCAAACTGAATTTAGATAGGTTGGCCTTTAGATTTTGATTGGATCATCATGAACCTGCTGAGTCAACATAAATGAGATATAAACCAATTTACATAATGTTTTCCCTCTCTGTCAGAAAGAGAGGGGAATACATGAAAACCCAAGAGTTGTAATGGATTAGGATTTTATTCTGGAACGTAACATATGGTCATGCTGGAATTCAAAAATCTCTAGACTCTGAACACAAAATTCCATTTCAGATTCTCAGAATAATATAATATAATAATAATATAATAATAATAATAATATATAATATAATAATAATATAATATAATATAATAA